CCACCAATACTTACTTTGAAAATCTTTACTCTTATAGGATGGAAAACACAGAGGAAATGGACAGATTTCTAGATACATGAACTACCAAAGCTGAATGAAGAAAATATAAAAATCCTGAATAACTCAATATCAGTCAATGAAATTGAGAATGCAATTAAAACCTTGCCAATGAAGAAAAGCCTAGGTTCTGATGGATTCACAGCTGAATTCTACAAGCAATTTAGGGAAGAGTTAACATCAACTCTTCTCAAACTCTTTAATGAAATTGACTTGGAAGGAATTCTCCCCAACTCATTCCTGGAGACAAGTATTATTCTGATACCAAAACCAGAGAAAGACCCAACCAAGAAAGAGAACTACAGACCAATCTCCCTAATGAATATAGATGCAAAAAATCTCAATAAAATACTAGCAAACAGAATACAACAAATCATCAGGAAGATTATACACCATGACCAGACATGAATCCCAGTACAAGTGGGATTCATACTAGGAATGCAGGGATGATTCAATATATGCAAATCAATTAATGTAATACACCATGTCAATAGAGCCAAGGACAAAAATGACATGATCATCTCCATCAATGCAGAAAAAGTCTTTGATAAAGTCCAACACTCATTCATGATGAAAACCCTACAGAAAATAGGAATAGATGGCCTTTACCTCAAGCTGATCAAAGCTATCTATGATAAACCAACAGCTAACATCATACTACATGGTCAAAAATTGAAAGGTTTCACTTTGAAATCAGGAACAAGACAAGGATGTCCACTGTCAACATTCTTATTCAATATAGTTCTGGAAATATTGACTAGAGCAATAAGACAGGAGAGAGAAATAAAAGGAATAAGGATAGGGAAGGAAGAAGTAAAATTACCATTATTCACAGATGACATGATACTGTACATAGAAGACCCCAAAAATTCCACCAAAAGGCTCATGGATTTAATAACCAAATTCAGTAGTATAGCTGGATACAAAGTTAACACTCAAAAATCAGTAGCATTCCTGTACACAAGTAATAAACAGACTGAGAGAGAAATTAGGGAAACCACACCTTTCACAATAGTATCTAAAAAGATGAAATACTTAGGAATCAATCTAACAAAAGTAAAAGATCTATACAG